TTAGCAATGCCTGGGTATAAGCCCGAACAGCATTAACAGCATCACTAGTAGTAACGCCATGCGATTCAAGACCAAACGCCACAGCTGTGTTCAGCCCTTCAAGCGACGAAGGGGAGGAAGCAAACAGCTCCTCAAAGACCGCTGACATTCCGGATTGATCGCGAATGTCATCACCTCAACCGACAAGATAACCATCAAATTTCCGAAGTGAACAACATTCGAGGTTCTGGTGGCCCATGAAAGCACATCCTTTTTGGAAACAATTTCATCTTCAATCCAAGTGCCTACATCAACAAGCCCGTCTTTCTCCTTCTTGATGGCCTCATATGCACCAGGTTGACCAGCCCACTCTTTGCGATCAAGCAATCTGTGAACCAAACCTGGGACCTTAACCTCTCTCATACCAGTCTCGTGCATCAGCACATCGATTGGCGCTGTAGGCCTGGAATCCTTCTCACGGTGGAGTTGAGGCACACAAGGAACGCAAGGAAGCGCAGGTGATTGAAAGGCTTTGGCAAATGGGAAGAGTGACATGAGGAGAACCTGATGAAACGCAGCAGGGTAATGAGCTACCCTGGGCCACAATGCAGATGCTTTGTCATGCTTTACGTCAGGTGCATGAGTGCACTTGAACGGTTTGAAATTGTCAATGACGCGTTTGCTGGAGGACATAATCTGCCAAGGAGCGACTATGGGATTTCCTTTTAGGGTCACCATACCCAACGCACAGCCCCTGAAGACAATCTTCTTTCAGACCAAACTGATCCTCAAATGCTTGGACTTCAGGAAGCATCCAAGAGGACGAATCTTGAGGCCAATCAACGACAACTTCACCGCCATTCGACAAGACGGCAGCTGCAACTTGCAAGAACCCGAGAAGCGTGCGTTGAGATTTCCAAACCTCATACCCACTACACTTGCGACCCCAACCATCCCCAAGAAGCGAACCATGAAGACTACAGCCTGGGACGGCAAGCACTTGTGACACAAGCTGATCAACCGTCACTGGATCAGTCAAGTTCACCTGATCGCAAGGTACAGTGACGATTTTGATACCTGAAGTCGATCCAAAATCCGACAATCGCGAGCACGTATGCGATACAATTTCGAATTTCGAACAAGATCAACGACCCAGGCTTTTGATGCCTATGCTGGGCCACAATGGCCGGCACTTGCTCTCCCTCATCTTCGGATGGCTCAATATCGGAGAGGTGATCGCCCTCGGGGCGGGATGAAGGGCGCGGTAGCATAAGTTCTTCATAAGACAGAAACTCCTTCGGCACCGGCGTTTCAGGGGCCTTGGATTCTCGGCCAAACGCTTCCTCGAACCTGGCAATGCATTCCGCGTTGTGGTTGCTTTTGTCGTTTTCGCATGCTGAGCAACCTGGAGTTGGACCATCTTTCGAAACCTGGCATAGGTGATGTAAATCCGACGAATCTTCTCACGCCCATCCTTGTCACCGAAGACATGTGGAGTGAACAGAAGAGGCAGTGGTTCAGGGACTTCAACATCACCCATTTCAGCGAAAGACAACAAGCCATGCTCAGCAGCATTTCGCAGTGGGAACACTGGATCTCCAGACCGAACATAAAGCTCAGCTTCTGGAACATTGAGAGGATCGGTCCAAGCACCGGACTTCAGGCGAAGCTTCTCAAGATCAAGGACATAAGTTACAGAACGATAAATGCTACCGGGTTCAAGCCTCCAACCGGCGAACAATCCAGGTGCAGCATTCGGACCAAACTTACTCTCGCTTTTATGGCGATAAAACACGAGTTGTCCAAGAAGGAGCTTCTTCACCGGAACCTCTTCTCTTCCGGCATCATCACTCATGAAATCCCATCTGTTGCATGACTCATCAGCAGACGAAGGCAACGTTAGGTTCAAAGCCATAGAACCATAACGGCAAGCAATGGGCCAAAGCTCAGGGCGAATCGAAAACCCGGCCTCAAGAAATGATGCGCGCACACCTTCTTGAAAGGTTCTGATTTCCCGCTCGAGCTTGGAACAAATGCGACGTCCAACAAACTTCCTCAAGGAACTCACAATTGATGTCGTGGAGCGATCAGTACCCGGAAAGGCAGCAAAAATGCCAGTGTACCTGTCTCCCAAACACAACACAACGTAAGTCTTGTCAAGAGCATCGCGATCTAAACACGTGAATGTGATTAATGACTTCTCCGAACTCTGATGCCTCTAAAGGATCGGGCTCCTCGTCAGGATCACGCGGCTTTCTGCGAACACGACAGGACAGCATACGAGCTTGATTGCAGACATCGCAAAATGGGTTCTTCGGGAAGTGGAAGAGCCTATGCTCAATCGTCATCACTTGATCCCGAAGCTTCACAACCCTTCCTGGAACTTTATCTTCTGAATCATCCCTTGACTCAATCTCGACAGGATGTTCTACGTCACCGACACCAGGTGGCGCATCAGCAGCCGAGCCGGTATCGGGTAGCGCATCAGCAGCCGAACCCTCCGGAGCCCCGGCAGCAAGGGCGGAGACCCCACAAAGGTCAATCGGGAAACCGAGGTTGCGTAATTCGACACGCAAATCGCTGCTGATGTCTGAAGGGTGCTTTGCAGAGAAAAGGACGAGGACTGTCCTATTGCCCTTCCATGGCATAGTCGACTGTACTATGCTCTTTGCTCGAAGACGGATGGTTCCGTTACGGAAGTTGAGTACTCGACCAAGACGAGAAGGGTCACCGGGACACGGAGTGGACCCCTCTGATTCCTCAATCCATACACCCCCACCGGTAAAAATCACCCAGAGCAACGATCACGTTGTCAAGGTGAGCATTGTGGAAGTCCTTGTGAGGACCAGTAGCAACATTGTTGAAGATGCTAAACGTCGTGTAGCCGAATTTAGGAACCCTGGTGCAAGCAAACTTGTTGATCACTCTGGTAACCAAAGGGAGCTGCTGCGATGAAGTCCGAAGTCCAAGAACTCCACCCAGTCGAAAAAGTCCAGATGTAAAGGATTTTCCCTGGTTACCTCTAGGAGCAGACTCCTTCTCAACTAAGTCAAAAAGCTTGCGAACAGCACGGCAACTCACATTGCTCCCAGAAGTCAAGATCTGCTTAGCTCGAAGTTCAGCAGGATGGGATTCAGGTAGATGGATGGCGCTTGGGATAGCAGCCGGTTCCGCATCAGCAGACCCCCCTGAAAGCTCAGTCGGTTTGCGGCTCCATGCGTGAACTTTCACTTGACTCGTGAAAATGGGAACATGCTCATCAATCCTCGTTGCATAATGACGCGCATGCTCAGGGCACTCAATCTTCAGTTTGGAAACGTCCGAACGAAGAAGGGAAGCTTTCCGGGTAACCACACAAAGGCTTTCCCCGAACCAACATCCATACCGGTACTGCGAACCAAAGGGCAGCTGTCTAACATGTAGTGATTTGCAAAATCCATGTTGTCAGACTGGTGCACGTGACGCACCAAGGAAATGATCAAAGGCTTGGCGAGGTATCCCCTGGTCAAACAAGGCTTCCGCTGAACCAAGGTACGACCTGCAGCAGCAGCAGCCCACTCAACAGCATAAGTAGGCCCGACAGAAGTCGCGGGAACGCAAAGACTCGATGCAGCAACAAGAGCAACAACGGCTTTGGCAACGGCTCCAGGCTTAGCCTTTGCAGCTTCCTTAGCTTTCGGTTTGCCCTTGGCGACAGGGATCTTATGACTGAACTTGCAATTGTCCCCATGGATGCAACCGGAAGGCATCTTCGCCTTTTCAGCGTCAGTCAATGCCTTTGCCTTGGGCTTTGGCTTCGGTTTCGGCAGTTTCGGCTTGGTTGTGGGAGCAGCAGCCTCAGTTGAAGGCGTGGATGACATGGTGGAAAGCTTTGGGGGCGGAGCCTTCGGAGGTGTTGCGGGAGGCACCGCAGGAACAGCTTTGGTCTTAGCGTGCGGTGTTGCTGCTTGCAAAGACTTCAACACAGATTGAGCATTCGAATCTTCACGATCCTGAACAATCAAATCCTGAATCTTATCCCACAAGTAAGCCCATTCTCGACGATGAGAAGTGGAAGCCGATTCACGAATATCTTCAATGACGCGCTCAAGCTTCCTAATGTGCTTCACTCGATGAAACAACCACTCACCAGTGAGACGATCGTCTGGCCTCTGACCAGCTGGGATCGCACTGAGCACAAGACGGATGCGATTCACAAAGTCTCTCAGGTCCTTTATGGAATTCCCACCCAATTCAATCTGGAACAACGTCGATGCAGTAAGCCCTGAGCCTCGAACACGATCTAAGTCGTAATGTCGGGCAATAATACTCAACATCACACGACTCTTGGGCGACTGACCAAGCTGACCACATCTTTCGATGTACGCTGTGATGTCTCGCGGCTCACCTGCTACCCACGCATCGAGCCTGGGCAAAAGCTCAGAATCCTCAAGATCAGCCCTGTCGGCATCAAAACCTCTGGAAATCCAAGCAAGCACAATACCTCGACCCGATGTGTCAAGCTTTGACAGCTGAACCTTGAAACCAGTCTTCCAAATCCTAAAGCTGGCAGCATCAGGCGGGATGGGCTCGAGCTTAAGGTGCCGAAGAGCACGCTGATCGACAACATCTTTCTCTCTCAGCTCTTTAGCAGCATCTTCCTCTCCATCTTCATTGGTCTCTGCTTGATCCGTAGCATTTTGGTTGACCTGGTGAACCAACTGCTGCACCACCTCGATGAGCTGATCCACACGAGGGTCTGACGTGGGAGATGTTGGTTGGGCTGAGGAGGAGGAGAAGCTGAGGATGGCCCAAAGGGACCGGAGTAGATGTTCCTTCCAGATGGAGGATCAGAGGATTCGAGATGAATCCAAGATGCTTCGCTTGGTGCGGACACCGATGCTGCATGGGGTACCGCTGGCTTAGGCGGCTTTGGAGGAGATCCAGAGCTCGAGGCGCTAGGAGCAGCCGACCGAAGTCTCTGAATCTCACGATCCTTAATCTGGTTCTCTACTCGAGTTTGATTGAGCTGAAAAGTCAAGGAGTTGTTGTTACCCTGACATTCATGAAGGGAGGCTTGAAGCTCCTGGTAACTCAAATTGAGGGCTTGGAGCTCAGCTTCAACCCGACTAAGGTCAGCCTTGGACTCAGTCAACTGACGTTCAACAAACTGGCCATACTCAAACAATTCCCCACACCGAATCTCTGACATCCGAAGTTGCTCTCTGAGTTGTTCAACAGTAGAACCGCTTCTGCAATGACATCACGAACTTGGCTTTGGACCTCATGCATCGAAGCTTGGAGAAGAACTTCAACTTGAGCCGCAACCCTGTTCGCAGCCTCATCTGCGGCAAACGTGCTGAGCGTCCATGACTTCCTGAGGCGAGGCTCCTATGTTCAGTTGATTCATCTGATTCTGAATCAAGGTTTGTGCAAGTGGCACAACCGGAGGCGGTGAGGCGGTGGGATACGGTGAGGATTGAACCCGAGGAGTTCGAGCCAACGCTCTTCTTGAGGTGTGAGGGGACCGTTCCCTTTCAGCTAAGGCTGAACCGCTATCCGACCCCCCTGAAGCACAGGACGAATCCCTCAAGCCAGGAACCGTGGCGCTGCAGCGCCGAGCAGACGGGATAAAGGGAAGAATAACCTTAGTTCAGAACCCACCAGATGAACAATGACGATCTAGAGATGACGATGCTTAAGCAACTTCACCCCTCGTTGAGCAGCTGCGGTGTTGGCGCTAAAGCAGCCGAACCACCGAGCGCAAAGCTGAAAAGAAACCTAGAACGGGCGGCGAATCCAAGAGATGGCAGCTTGCTCCGTCTCGAGGATATTCGCGTAACTTCTGCCCAACGGACTGGAGTCTCTCCTCGGCATCCGAATATGACAGCACTGGTGCCCTCCGCGGATGAACTCGGTCGCGACCTCGATATTATCGTCAATGATGAGGAGATCCGCGTTCGGGAAGACACGCTTAGCCACACTCAGCTTGCCCTTAGGCCCAACCCGCTCTCTGGATACAATCAGCAGATCGAAAAGACAGCGCTCTGTATCTCCAACCTCACCAACTTCTTGCAGAGTGTTGTGAATAGTATCCCTGAGCCACGCCTCGTTCTCCTGGGACTTATGGATGTGGGATAACACAACGATGCAGGTGAAGTTCTCGTTCTGAGCAGCAGCCTCCAAGCAATGCTTCACAAAAGTTGTCACCTCTGGCAGAAGCGTTGGCCGCGTACTGGGCCAGGGAATAGCGTGCTGCTGCTTGCGACCTGGAGTACAGTAACGATCGAGAGTGTTGTGAAAGTCCAGGAGCAGTACACGTCTGACAGAAGCCCTAGCTTCTCCCGGCAATCGGCACTTGCGGTTCGTGATCGGGCTCAACAAAAGAGTCCCGTTCCCAAAGCTGTCGGAAGAAACCGACGGCGGACCCCTCGGAGGCGTTGGAACCTTTGGCGGAGGACCCTTAGGAGGCACTGGAACCTTTGGGATTGCTTTCACAGGCACTGATGCAGACTTGGGCGCAGACACCGCAACCTTCGCCGTAGGAATAAGCTTGGCGGAAGACGGGCCTTAGGCTCAATAGCACGACCAGGCGGAGGAGGTGGTGGACGAAGTCTGGTAAAACCCGGCACAGGAACTGTGGCCTTGGGAATCCTTGAAGACGAAGTAGAAGGCTCTGATTCCACCACGACTTCAACCAGTTCCTCTGGCTCGTCTGCTGGAGTCTCAGGAGCTGCAGACGACGAGGCGGCTTCTGGAGGTGTCTTAGGCTCAGGAATACCAGGTGTTGTAGGAGTCTGGCCAAGATTGTACCAGGCCGGCGGCGGCGTGTCAGGGACCTGGTCGTCCTCCTCCAGGTTTTCCGGGGTCCAACCCGCCCTCGTGTAAAGGGGTCTTCTCGATTTGTCCGCGTGAACTATATACACTTGATCCTCGGACAGATCTGGGTTCAATTCGAGAGACCACCTAATGAAAACTTTCCGCTTCCGCTGTGCAGCTTTGCCAGCTCTAATGCCACGCGTTTGGGGAGCCTTGGGAGCTGGCTCCGTCGGACCTTGTTCAGCAAGGGGCGGCGGCCGGTCTGACATTCGCGGAAGCTAAACCCTGAATTGAAGAAGCACTACGGCTGATAACCAGTTATTCTGACCCCAACCAAGGAAACCACCGAGGTAGGGTAAGAACAAGGAAGCAGGGCACCGGGGGGAGCCCCGACCCTGAGCGCGAAGAGCAGCTTAGCCACGCTCTTTTTCATGCTTGAGCCAAACGTGGTCGTTGGCATTACATGACTACACAGCACTGTCGGACATGATAACATGTAGAGGTGGAGATTACTAATTTTACAACTTAAAGTGTTTCTGGCATTTGGGCAGTGATCTGACAACAGCAAACAGACCGTCTCCTTGAAACAAGTCCAATAGGTGCCACAGGACTGTACAGTATGCAGACGTACTTCGTTTATGCAGGCCTCACTGTCTACCTATATAGGCAATGCTTTTCTTTTCTTTGTGGGGGTTTCGGCAGGTTTGATACTAAGGGCGGTGCGGCTTACGGCACGTTCAGAGGTTGACTGACTCGCCCGCAACCGTTCGAAGGGGTTTAACAATAATGTGTTATTGTTGTTGTGGTTAGGGTTGTGCTTGTAGTTGTGCTTGTGGTTGTGGTTGCAGTGGTGGCTGTGGTGGCTGTTGTAGCTGTGGTGGTGGTGGTGGTGGTGGTGGTTGTTGTTCTTGTTCTGTTCTTGTATGTTCTTGTTCTTGTTATTGTTCTTGTTCTTGTTCTTGTCGTCATGTGTCGTTTTCGGGCGCCGCTTTCTGCTGCAGTTGTTGTTGCCGCTGCCGACGCATTCTCAGGTTTCAATGTTCCGGGAACACCAACGATCGCACCTTCACCCGAGTTTATGGTCATGAATACGGCGCAGGAATTCACAGCAGGACGAGTGATTAGAATGGTTGCGCTTGAAAGGATCAGCCGGTCAGCATACAATCAAGATGCCAGGTGTTCAGTGCTTGTGGCAATAAAATTCCCGGCGAACCCTGCTGTCCTTTGGAGTATGAAAAGAATGTACATGTGCATCAGCAGTCTCTTCTCTTGCTGGCCGCCCAAGATGCAAGCATGCAGAGCTGTCAGCACGTGGTAGAGACATCGTTGAGAGATGTGGGGCAAGATGCCAGCCTTAGAAGTAGATCCACCATGCAATATGAAGCCTGGCTCAGGTTCAAACTAAAAATATGGTCTCGCAGTTTCTGACACATAAACTCCCAACAGTGTTATTTCACGTTTGAACTGACATGTGGTCTGATACATGCCAATCGCACATGCTCTGACAGAAGATCTGCATGGGATGCGACCTGTCAGATGACACACAGACTGCACAATTCATAAAAGGTCGTGGCCTGGAGAAAGAGCTGGTGTACCATGTGTCACTTGAATCCGCATATCCTGTAATAGAAAACCAGCCGTGAGCTGACGCAGGCCCTGACCGTTGTCATGTTTTGTGGAGATCTACAGAAAGCAGCACATCCGCGGGTTGGTAGTTGGGTAGCCAGTGTGAATGCTCAAGTACGTTTGGCCCTCGCGTGACAGCTGGTGAGAAGCAAATCTACAGAATTCGGTCAGCAAAGCTCTCGGAGTGGGAGCTGCAACGCGACTGTGACTGGCCCGATTGAAAACTATGGAAGTTTCCCACCAAGTCTTCATGAGCCCGAGATCATAATTACTGAAAGTTGTCCCTTCGGAAAGGATAGATGACGGTATGATTTATGATTTATGCCGCCTGCAATATCGACAGGAGTACGGACGCCACACATCAATGTCTCGATGGTCTTCAACTCTGTCCTGCGAAATGGCGATGTCATCATTGTCACCCCGCCACCAGGCAGTGCGCAACAGTGCCATACTCCTTGCCGATGCCTGCTGCCATGCTGTAGATGTCGATAACGTGTCTGTTTGGAAGGGGAGGGCATGGCAGGCAGGCCACCAAACAGAAGAACATCCCGTAGCTTCCCGGCGAACAGTGCTTGAGTTATGATGAATTATCAGTTGCCATCAAGAACAGTATCAACAACAGGCAAATGCTTTTCTTCCCAAGTATGCAGCATGCCATGCTCGATGCGGACCCGGAGAAGCTGGCTTTGCACGAAAGCGTTGTATCGGGTCTGCATAAGCACTAGTCCACCCAATGCGGTGTGTCTTGGCGGCGCGAGTTTAGCGTGCAGTCGGACTGTGACGATGCCGCATATTGGGATGTCTTGCGACTCTAGGTCTCCTGCCTTTAGACTTTTCGAGTTCCTGAGACATGTCTGTGTTCAGACGGTTGACCCGGCGGAAAGAAGCAATGAGATGACTTCTCCCAACAGCCGAACATGTGCCGAGCATGGCATCTACATGCATCTACGTCTTTAACAGGCGCAGGTCCTGTCACATATGCTACAGTGGATGCGTTTGCATGTCGCAGTTCGCGACAGATTGGACAGGCTTTGACCTCCTTTCCGAAGACGGCGGATGCCGAGACTTCCAATGGATTGGAACCTTTCGACCGCTTGTTCTCTCGCCTCCCCCGGCCTGCAACTGCAGCTCAGCTCAGCTAAGCTCGGCAATGTTCCAAGTCATGGGTTTTCGGTCTACCGGTCTGACTGAAAACCTGGCAGGCACCATGACACCCTTGCAGTGCAAGCTTGAGTTGAACGTCATGGAGAGTAGCCAGTTCCGCGGCCTTGCGCTGGGCGAGCAGGTGAGAATTGCCTTCGAAATGAGCGTGACAAACCCTGTGATGACGCCGGACATAGTGGAGGACTACTGGCGGATGGAGCTATGGCACGGGACCAGTCCTCCATATCCTTTCAGTGGAGGGCTTGCTGAGAGCTGGCCCGTCTATGGAACACTGGACAACTTGACAGTCTCTCTGGTGGGCTTCGAGAGACGCGCGGGTGCTATGAGCGATCTACGCTTCGATTTCGTTCCGAGCGCCCGGGTGACATGCGGACCCTTTAGTGACTTTAGTGCTCAGTACTATGCAGTACTTCAATAAGAAGGACCTCGGCAGGCCCGGAAGAGAAAGCCGATTCAGCACAAGCCTGTCAATTCTGTGCAGAAGGGTTGTCTTGCCTCTAAGGTGTCTGGGGCACAGCATTGGACATCGTGGTCCATGAGCCAACGGGGTTCCAGTTCCAGAACGCACGCGTCAACGCACCATGGATTCGACATGAGCTCACAACGGGAAGTCGCCTGGTCCTCATCGGCTCCTCGGCTCGGCCTCCGGGTCACCGCCTGACTGTAGCACTGTAGCACTGCTTCGCTTCGCACTTCTTAGTCTTTCTTCTTCATAAATTAAGCATGCCTTCAAAGCACGCCAATTGCAAAGCTGAGCTTTGTCAGGTGGCACGCTTGTACCAGGACAGATGTCCCAGCTAACTCTATCCCTCGTTCGGCTCGGAGATGGCGGTGGGCCCACTCGCATCAGCAGCTTGGTTGTGCAAAGTTGTCAATGGCTCGCTTTGATGCTGTCTTCGGTGGACATCTGGCAAGTTTGCAAGTAAGGCATTCGTGTTTTTGCAGATTCGCAATTAACGCGTGAGACGGCAAGGAGAGCAATGTCACATTGCTTCAAGTAAGTGCCATTCAGAGGCTGCAGTAGCACTGTCGTTGGCAAGCTGGCGGGACAGTGTTCCCGTCGCAGGAGGCTCAACTTCCTGCAGGGCTTCCGACTTCCTGGTGCAGTGCCCTGCCATTCATTCTGTAACATGTCAGTCCCTTCGCACGGTGTTGTGAATGTTCTGTCTGGCCCTTGCTGCATCTTCCTCAGTCTTCTGTTGCTTAGTTATCTTTAGCTTCATTGGACTCTGAACATTGATTGCTTGCCGCTTGCTCAGATGTCTTGGGAAAAACCCGGCAAAGCACTCAACCACAGAGCTTCGATTGCCCCAGAGTGTCTTCCACGGTTGGGCGGATCGAGTGGGAGCGGCAAGCTGTAGGTTTCCCTGCTAGGGGACAACTGCAGCTCTGGAGTGTGCTATATTCTTAATGCTGCAACAGTGCCAAGCGAAGGAAACCCGGCATATTCAGAAAATACGCGGGCTCCAACGAAAGCTACATCGAGCGACCAGCAGAGATCTTCGAAAGGGTCACCAAACACAGAGCGCCGGAAGGCTGGCCTGCACTCACAGTCCAGGGACTCGGAAGTCAAGGTGTGGGCAGCGTGACCGGCGCAAAAAAAGACATCACAAACAGAGCAAGAGCAGGACGACACCACGTTGAGCGTGATCCGAGCATTTGTCCGATCTTCAATCCGGACCAGTATCACTTGCTTAGGTTTAAGGAGAGGTTTCCAAGAGAGAAAGGGAAGGCTGGCAAACGCAGTTTTTGGTTTCATGATTGGCATCCAAAGTTGGTGACTGGTTTTGCCCGTGACTCGATCCTCCCTGCGACAATGTCACTGACGAAATGTTCCGGCAAGTGTTAGCCAGGCTTGCAATTCTTTCAAGGGTCGAGTCGGTACATGTCGATACGTCGATGCAGTCTGTGTGGCTTCATAAACTTGCGGTCGTCTGTCTCTTCGGAAGCCAGGTCGTTGCTGAAAATCTGCGGCTTTGGAGCGAGACCGTAGTGGACCACTGGTCCGGTGAGCAAGCCGACTCCGTCAGCCCATTGCTGCCATGCCATACAAACACGTGCCTCAACATGCACCGAGCAGGTGTTCGGCTTTCTCTGAATGCCGCGTTGCAGGGCCTTTCAAAGAGAATAACTGTTTATAGAGCCCATTGCGAAAATCCCAGGCTGGCACGGTTCGAGATCTTCATCCGGTTGAGCAATGTGATTTTGCATGGAGACGCATTGATCATCACGACGCCAAGCTGTGTAGACGGAAAGCAGGCCCTGGGAGTCTGTGTAAAAATCTTGCGAACCCCTGCAGCTGCGCTGAGGAACAGCGTGCCCTTTGGAGAAGCGCCTTGGGAGCCTTCCACAGAAGCGGAGTATGAATCAACATTGGAGATGTGTTTGGGCCCCGGCCAGCACGGAGCGGGCGGGCGAACAAGTTGCTACATGTTGCGACTCTCTCGTTTTCTTGCTGGCCTTTTCGCATGTTGGGGTGTAGACTCCTGGGACCTGCAGGAGGTATCGCGGAAAATGGTACATGGATATGTGACCGCGTCCAGGAAGTCAACATCACAAGCCGGATGGTCATTCGCACTTTGGCCTTTTGCTGTCGCCATGGTCTTGTAGGTGTTGCAAAGCTTGGTGACTAAAGTGAGAGTAAGTGCCCACACCACTGCAACGGCAGACCCCAGAAGGAATCCTAGAGGGTTTCGCTTGGCAAGCTGCCGCAAGCCCGAGTCGTAGCTCAGCGACCCCACGATGGCAGGCAAGCTTGATGGAGAGCTTGAGCAATCCAAAGCTTGCTGGTAGAAACATCATCTGCAGCCTACTAAGCGGCTAAGCGTCCGAGCATGTCCGAGCACTTTGGATAAACAGGTCTGTCATAATGGATCTTCGCTTGGAAGACTGGCGAGCGTCCGGTGAGGGAATGTGAATCTCGAACTGTTTGGCGGGCCGTGAAGCCTGCAGCCGGCCCGAACCCCAAGCTCATGCAATCTCACGCCCTCGGACTTGCATCGACAGATGTACTGGACTGGTTCTATCTGCAATCACTGCATTGAACCAAAAGAGTGATTTATGCATATCTCTAGCTACCAGCTCACAACCGATTGCCAGCATGTCAGGATGATATGGTTACCTCACATCCCTACAATGCCTAGAGTCGCCGTGCACCGCATCCAACGGGAAGGACTCAGGGTTCAAGTGCTCGCAAAGCAGCGGGTCAGAATCCGAAAAGAGCCGCAGAGAAACGACGGATCCCCAGATCGAGGCACACTTGTCATCCACGGACCAGGCTCACCTCTGAACCAGCTGGCGGGGGTAGCCACGGTAGAGCAGCTGGCCGTTAGAAGCCCAGCTGCAGCAGTCGTGAAGGCCGAGGCGGCCGCGGCTGGCTGATGACCCGAAGATGAGGGGGCAACGACCAATACCATGGTTCCAGTCATGCCGACAATGAAAGTCTGAAAGTCGAGGCCATCGACAGTGCTTATGGCAGCTGGCAGTCCGGCACACGCATGAAAAGGAGCTGGAATGCTTAGAGAGACACGCGCAAGACGAGGCAACCGTCGAGTTTGCAAAGGCTCATGCAAAGAACCAGTTGCTCCGAGTCAGAACGCATGCTGCAACAGCAGATGCTGCAACAGCCTCTGCATGGAGGTACAGTCCTCGATGTCAAGGATGAGTCTGCCCATGAGCGACAGCCTGTTGCCAGCGCTGACAACATTGTTGTGTGCAGTTTCGAGTTGAAACACGCCACCTTGTGGCCGAGGCACTCTACAGCCGCGTGCCGGAACCTCAGCCCAGGCCTGGAGGCAGTCACCTCTTGACACCTGAGTTCGAGGAGCTTTTGAAGTCAAGGCAGGTGACAGGTCAGAATATGCACATGTCTAGGACTTCGCAAGCTTCAGGACGCAAGCTTCAGGCACGTCGCCAGTCTGACACTTCACGACATAGCAGACGTGGACCAGGAGCTCCGAACTTCCATTTGTCTCGGCCGCGACGGTGTCCAGCCTCCCTCTAGCCATCAAAACATCAAAAAAAAACATCCCTCAAACATCCACCGAAAAATCAAGCAGCGACGAACCCAAAACACATCCAGGCACTTCCAACACATCGCGGGCCTCACTGGGACATCGCTCCCGGGCTAGGAAAGGGCACCTCCTTTTTACATATGTTCTCCTTTTCTGTTTGTTAAAAGAGCACTAGGACAGTAGGAAACATCCGGACAAGCATCCGGAAACACTAGATACATCGGGAAGCTGATTCTCATTCCTGTTTCTCCATCCAACAACATCCACCGGACCAAAGCATCCATCAAAAATCCACCAAAACATCATCCAAAAAGCATCCAAGGACATCCAAACACATCCTCCAAAGCAACCAAAAACATCCCAACATATCCAAAAACATCCGCAAAGGCAAGCATCCAGAATGATGCAGATGCCGGCCCCACTGAGCGCTCCCTAGGCTGCACTAGGGCATTTCTTCTGCTTGTCTATCTGCTAAAAGAACAGGGAACATCCGGACAAGCATCCGAAGCTTGAAGCATCGGACGCGCCAGAATGCTGGTACCTTTTCCTCACGCAAGCACTCATCAAAGCATCCAGCAAAACATCCAAACACATCCAAAAACATCCACAAAAGCATTCGCGAACATCCACACTGATTTAGGTGCCGGCCTCGCTGAGACAGCGCTCAGAAGAACCCTTTCGTATCTTGGAGACAGGCAAACCATCTTCGTCCGCCGTCAAGAGCTGGGTGGCCTCAAACTTGGGCCAACCGGGCACTCATGTGCCGGCACCTGTCCAAGTGGCGCCAGACTAAGCACCTTGGGCTCCTGCATGTGCACCCTTGAAGGACCGACTGATACAGATCGGCAAGTCCTGCTTTCACTTTAGCGGCAGGGTCCGAGAAACAGTTCTGGCGAGGCTCAATGATTACACCTTTCGAGCTCACCTATAAGATGCCAGCTGGCAACTGGATCCTCCATCGAATCATCCTGGTAGAGAACTCGGACAAGGCGTGGAACTGGAACAACATCTGTATGCCCGACTGGTTCACGAGCATCCAGATGCCATTGTCATCAGCGCTTCCCGTCACGCTCAAAGAGCGGATACTGGAACTTACTTGGATGCCACTGACAACCTGTTGAACCACGCCCTGCCGGTCCACGCAGCGAGTCGATCGAGACCCGCAAGCGAGTGTTCTTTGCGTGGCAAGCTGGGGCACAGAGCATCTACAATCGGCTACAAGACAAATGCCTTGACATCTACTTGTTTGACCGCCTTTCGCACTGTGGCGTCGAAGGAGGACTGGCTCCAGCGGGGGCTCAATCTGGTCAGCACGCAACAGGCCGATGATCCAGATCTGTGGTTTCGTTGGAATTGGGGAAGGCGAGCAGTGGGCACTACACGTGTGACTCTCCCAGCGTCGAGAAGCAGGTCAGGAGCATGCTGGATCACAAGAATCCAAAGGCCAAGAGCGAAGGTGAACAGGCTCCCAAAGCAAAAGCTGCGAAGGCCAAGGCCAAGATCTGAAGGCGCCCATCCGATGTCTTGGACGAGTCATCTAGCCTGCACTCAAGACAGTTCTCCTTGCAGTAGGTCTCAGGTCTGAGGTCTCACTGCATGTTTGCTCATTCTGCATTTAGTCTCAATCCTCAAAGGGCCACGACCTTTGGATGGGCATGGCACGGCGATGAATGATTGGGGGCCGGTTGCTGAGTTTTGTGTTCATTTCTTTATATATAATACAAAATCGAAAAGGCTTTTTGCAGTAAGTCTCAAGTATCTACATGTCTGCGAACAGGCAAAACATCCACCAAAACATCCTGCCAAAGCATCCCGAAACATCCAAACACATCCAAGACATAAACCAAAACATCCAAACACATCCACCAAAACATCCAAATACATCTCCTTCCATTCATCAGATGGCAGGTCAGAACTTCTTGTATGAGCTCCGGGGAGCATCTGGGAGCCGCGGATGCGTGGAATGGGCCAATACCATAAGTTTACGTGATGCCGCATGTTGCGTCTGAATCCGAGTGGACGAGACATGCCTTTTTGCTCCCATCCTTGTGTACACTATGCTGGCAGTCCTTTGGTGCAATATATGCGCTTGAAAGGTCGGAGCATTGCATCTTAATTTCCGCAGACCTAAATTGACGGGCTGAGCTGAGCTTGATCCGCCGATCTGATCAAGCATGCACGAAACGAGACGCTGGGCCAAGAGTTGCTGCGAATCGATGCCCCAGATGCCGAGAGGGGTTTTCGAAAGCTTGTCGAAGGCAAAAGGGCTGTAGGGGATTGGGGGATTGGGAACTGGAGCGGAGTAGTAGCTGGCCATAGCTGGCTCGATTCCCCACGATTCCAACATGTCAACATCGTTTGAAGAGTCATCGGACCTCGTTTAGGCAACAGCGTGGGCATTGTCATCGGAATGCGCTTGACTTTTGGGGCCATGAGACCGGAGTACGTACTCAGCCAGGCAGGGCAGCTGCAGGCAGCATGTGTTAGCGCATAGGATTCTTCAAAGTTGTTACTTGTAGCGCAAGCAGGGGTCTCAGCTGCAACTCCGCTTTTGCCTTTCGAAAGGATTAACTAGCGAATGAGTTTGTACTAAGCATACGCCCCAGTCCATGAAGGGCCCATTCGACTTCACGATGTCCGAACAAATGGCGGCACAGGCAAACGCAGAACCAAAACCCAAAGGAACAGCACGCTGCACATGGGGATTTTCTGCTTAAAGAGCATAGGTAGCACAGCCGACACATGCCTCAAATTGCCACACCACCACCACCACCGCCGCCGCCATTGCCGCCACTACAACCACTACGGTCCCCCCGTCCAAATTTGTTGCGACACGGACTGAGGACGCTCAACCCATGCATTTGCATTCTAAAATTGGCAAGAAGCTAAGCCAACGCCGTTCGATAACAAAATCGGGTCGGTAAAGTTGTGGAATACCAGCTAGCGATTCGCAAAGATGGCGGAATCGATTGTTTAGGCACGTTTAATACATTCCATTTGTGAACTCATAAGCTCAAAATCAATGATGCGTTGGGCCTTGACCAGCAAATTCGATTCAGAGTGCCTACCAAAGTCAAGGAGGGAATGTTTTCGCAAGCAAGCCTTTGAAGTCCTTGATTGCTCAATCGAGCTTGCATGAGCTTGAACCATCTTGAACCCCAATCCTGCCTGCAAGTTACTCAGCTTGCTCTGTTTATTGGTTTCAGCACATCAGTGGCGGTGGTCGGCTCCTCTTCGTCAGGCCTCCTTGGATGAGGTGAGAAATCGGTTAAAACTCGAAGGACAGCATCCCGACCAGCATGTGCCGGTGTCTTTGTTGTATCATGGCTGACATGTATAGCAGAAGGTCCAAGAAGCCGCGGGCAGAGTGGCCAGCGAGATAACAGATGATTGCCCAATTTGCCAGGAGATCTTGAATTTCGCGAGCTTGCTCTGGAGGCCAACCGAGATTACCGCCTGCGAGCCTCGACTATCTATGCCAGCGCCGCTGTAAGATGCTATTGTTGGGCACTGCAATTGCAAGCCTGAATCTTAAAGGCATCTGGCTTCGTGCGTCTCCCGCACAGACTATGTGGAGCATTTTAACGGAAGACGCAGCTCGAATGCCATTAGTTTCGATTAGTCTATAGCGACCTGCAGCACCTAGCCAGAACAAAAGTTGACTGGCCGAGAAACAAGCCAGCATATGCACGACTTCAGGCCCTTGGATTTCTCTCCAATACAAACGACGGTCTGACGCCGGGTTCCGTTGCTGTCCCAGATTCCTGGCTTGCTGTTCAGTTCCTCTGGCGGTGGATGTCATGCGGGTTCATTCCAAAGTCCACCTCCTTGCAACAGTTTGTATGCAGTTCTTTGAGATGACAGAGGTTCGATGAGTGTGATGTCGTGCACTGTCTCCTGAAGCGACACAAGAAATCTTGAAATCTGCATGGAACTCCAAAGCGCTCCGCCTGCTAGGAAATGACCTTGACGGTGACTTCCAGCGTGACGCGGGTACCGCCAGAATCCGCAGTATACGTGCGAGTTCACGTACGGACTGGTCCGTCACAAGGGCCTTTCAGCAAGCTTCAGCTGCTTCTGCCGTATGGCTTCGCGCCCCATGGTGCTTCGGCAGCTCCTTCGTCCAGACTGATCGTCGGCCTGAACCTCGAGCAGGGCGAGGGTGTGCTGGACCAAGTCACAGGGATGATGTTCAACCTGTGGCTTGGCTTGGCAGACTCGGTGCGCCAGGTGATGGAATCGCTCTGGACCTCTGCCTCCCAAGTCATGGAACCAGCACGAAAGTTGACGGTCGCGCTGCTGAGGCGGATCATGACACCAGCTACCAATGTGCCCGACTTGCGCTGGTTCGTACTGGCCAAAGAGGCGAGGCGGTGTTGGCAAGCGCAGGTTGAAATCCAATGTGCGCCACAGTTATTTCATATTTCGCATATGGCAGACAACACCTGGTGCATGTGGCCCAGCTGTTTGCTGATGAAGCCTTCTGCAAGCCTGCAGGTTATCGTTGACGACATCACTGGAATCACAGTTGAACCCATCAACGGTTGGGCCGATGCTGGTGGATTTGGTGTTGTATCACAGACGCACTGTGTTGCAGCATGGAAGCCGCTCCCTCACGAGCCGTGACCACCTTCTTGTGTTCAGGCACCCTGTCCGGTGTCGCTTATGTATGGGGCTATTCCCAGCGCAACAGGCCACTTTCCGGCAGTGCAGGTGCAAAGACTTGCAGGCTCTGGCTTGTGCCTTTGCTGCTCGCCGAGGTTGGTTGTCAATTTCTTTCTATGTCCCGGCGATGGTTGCGGGCAAGTTTGTCTTGATCACGGCGCCAGATACCTTCTTAGTGCAATGCCCCAAGGCAGGGTTCCAACATCATGTTCGGGAGGCTTTCATTGCTGAAGTGCAATGTTGAGGTCGAAGAAACAGGTTTGGAACTCGCCTGCGAAGACTTCCGAGTCCGCGAAGCCCTTCCCCTGTTTCTACAGTCACTGCAGCGGACGGTGAACGTCACTCTGGTGGGAGGAACTTCAGAGGGAGACAACGTGCTGTACATGTTCCTGCTCAATGTGCTGACTCCCGCAGAGCCCAACATTTTCGACGCGCGGCAAACCCATTAGCACCTTGCATAAGTGTCTGCAGTCTTCGATCTTAGGTGTCTGTAGTCAGGTGTGTCTACCTAGAGCACATTCATACCGAACTTCAGGCAGCGAGCCTGAATGAAGGGAGACCCGTTGACTACAACATACTGAATCAGTCTATGTCAGTATGTACATCAGTTCTTCAATTTTAGGTCCCTGCAACATCATGTGTCATAGATGAGTATTCGGAGATTGCCAGCACCCGAAGACTTGCGCTGTAGACCACTTGGAAGCAAGCGAGAGCTGAGCCTGTCTGTTTAGTTGATACAGAGTTTTATCTTCCATCCTCCTACTAAGACGGCTGTTTCCAGCGTGTTGGTGCAGTGCGTGTCTCTGCATCCCACTGCTCAGAATCGCGTCTTGCCGACGTTTCGAGCATCACAAGTACGGGAAGTGGAGAAGGAACAGGGACAGGGCCCCAGGGGGCCAGCTTGAGATGGCTGGAAACTTGCGCTATCTTGCGCTTGGGAGACCGTTCAACTATGTTCAACTAATCTTGAGATTGCCTGCTCTGGCAACCTCTAGGACTCACGGAAATGATTATTGCTGCCATTAAATTATGCTGTGATTTTTCTGTGATTCACATCTGAGGTTTTTCTGTGATTTCCCTGTGATTTCAACATGTGCCTGTGATTTCGACTGATTTGGCTGTGATTGGGCTGTTTTTTTCTGTGATTTGAAGATGTCCCTGTGATGTGGCTGTGATTTGGCTGCGAAGGCGGGTTCCCGAATCACAGCCACATGACACCGAATCACAGCCAAATCACAGCCGAGTCAAAGACAAATCACAGATGGAATCACATATGGCACGGGAATCACAGCAAAATCATCCACCCGAATCACAGAAAAATCGCAGCCAAATCACACAATAAATAGTTCCCAAATGCTAGAGGTTGCCGGGGATTGGCAGTCTCAAAAAACTAATCGAAATATATGACGTGTTCCGTGTCGTTTCGTCTGACGGATGCAATTAAAGTGAACATGCCAAGGCATTCCATGGGCACTGGTCCATGCAAAGAAGTAGTCCAGTTTAATGCCTTGCCTGATCTTGTTGTCGCAGCCTGACCTAGGATGTTTGGCAAATCAGAGTGCTGGATGATGGATTTGCAGTGGTGGATGCGGCCCTAGCAGTGCAGCAGCCCCGTTCCGTGGATGAATACTAGATGACTCGTGCTGATACTGAGACAATGCCTGCTCTTGAATCCAGGTAGCAAGCCAGGCGTTGGGGAAGAGACATGTTGCAGAGATCTGAGGCTTCGTGCTGGATCTTGAGATGGGCAATCCGTCCCTGTCTTGGCTGCAGCCACCGCAGATGGGCGAGGCAGGCGCTACATGCGAAGAATTTGGCGATCGTAAATTTGTTGCCGCTGCCACGCCAGCGAGCCTCTGCCTCGGCCGGGTGTCAACCCTGAAAGTAGCTCCCAACCGGCCAACGGTGCAGAACAGATATTCACAGCCGCAGCTGAAGAGCTCTGTACACAGAACGTGAGCGCCGATGACAGCTGTCTTGCAGCGGCTGCCACCAGGCAGGCCCACAGCAAATGACGCGGAACTTACGTGCAGAGGAAGCAGAGGTCAGCCTAAGCGGTCCAAGCGCACATGCTTCCTCGATCCAGCCTTTGTTTGCTATTCAAAGTCTGATTTGCTTCTGGACATAGTTTCTAAACCTCCGTCGCTCGATTTGCTGTCTCTCAAACTTTCTACACAGAAAAGCACGAGCAATACATGCTGTACGCATAGATAGCCAGTCGATCCCCAAGTCTTAGGGTCGCACAGTAAGTTGTTTGTTTGTGCACATGAATGTGCAGTTCATGAGTAGGAGCGCAGAGCACCGATAAACTTGAGTCTTGGCAGATGTCTTGGCCGCGCGAGTGACGGACCCGTGTTGACTGTTTCTGTTTGTAGGCAGGACAGAGTTCATGCTGAGATCGAGAAGGTGACAGCATTTTGTGTAGTGCTTCGCTTCGGAAGCCATGTGCAGTCATATGCGTGTGCTGGCCAAGAGTCAAAGGGAAATCATTTGTTTGAGGCGGAAAGCACGACCGATGCAGACTTGTGAGGATATCTCCGAGAGCTTTCTCAATGTTCTGTGCCGTCTAGTCTGCCAACAAGCACATGCAATATCCCCACAGCCTCCAGTGAAGCCAACTACGCGACAATGGTTTCTTGGAGCCAAAGATTTCCCCTTCAGGGAGTCATGATTAAATCAGTGTCCATGCTGTGAAGAGCCCAGATCGAATTCCCTCCAAAACCCCTCATTTTGTACATTCCCCGGGCCCCGTTAATGTATATTCGGGGGGGTGGTAGAACGACTTGGGTGCGGGGGCATTAGATCGCACACCTTGCAAGTAACCCCATCACGAAACCCAATAATATGAGTCATCATTGTTCAGGATCAAACTCGCAAACGCATGGACTAGTACAAGTAGTATTGATGCTGCTTCCTGTTGCACCGACATTACGATTCAGCACATGCCGATAGCAGAAGTTTCGACGGGTCAGCATGATGAGAGCTAGGACAAACCTGGCCAGGTCTTTAACATTACGATGACAGTTTTCGCTGAGGCGGTGTCTTGCAACTGATCCTATATCCCAATAAACAGAGCCGCATAAATTTCTCCATCTGAAGAGGTCTTTCCGAAAGTCTTTCCAGAGCAAATGGACCAAGATTTCTGAAATGGTTGTGCTGAGACATGCAAACTTCGTTCACCCCAAACCCGTCCCAAGTACCAATGTAGTTGGCACACAGGTCCAAATACCTCCCACTATCACAACGCTTGCACTGCACAACCGCCAAAATATGCAAGTCGCTTTCGACGCTGCGCAGTCGTCACTCGCTCTCATCTTGCACGCGCCCCATACCCCACCGTCACCAGAATTCAGTGCACAGCACGTACATGTGATCGTGGCTTTCCCGAGCTTTGAACGCGCACGAGAAGAGGAACCAGAAACCAGCCCCGTTGCTAGGTGGAGGGATATTTTCCGTACAAGATGTAATGTGCAAGCCACGCACAGCCCTCAACAGCCAAGCAGTATACACTCCATGCTGCATGTCGAACTCAGGGTCCGTACAGCTCCACAGTTGCAGAAAAAGGTACTGGGAATATGAGCGCAGGGCACTCGTTCTCCAATCAGCCCGGGGCTCCTAATGCTGTGCCAGGTCTCCAACGTGCAAGTGGAGGTGAGCTTTCTCCGCAGAGTCAAGGATGTGAAAGCCATCTTGGTGTCCCTGCCGGAGAACTACCGACATGACATTCAGCATAAGAACCAGTGACTTGGACTGATGGGTCGAGGTGCTCTTCTAAGCAGTTTCTTCTTGGCCGTTCGAAGTAGGACCCCAAAACACGGACGGAGACGAATAATGAGGCTACTAGCGGTAGGTTTAAGTCGTCCCTGCCGGGGCGAAGTCGTCCCAACCCCATGTGCCGCAGGGGTTGGGCTAGTTTTCAATACCTCTATCATATGTCGTCTCCCATCCAGTCTGCAGTTTCTGTGCGATCCAGTGCTGTGCGCGGTCTTTCCTTGAGATTGGAAAGGTTGTGATGCCACTTGTGTCTCGAGTTGGTGCTTGCGTAATCGAGCATCTACAAGGGGAATGACTGGTTTTGATTTGATGTTCGCTGCGATGCCACTGATGTGGTGTCTTAAGCTTGCAAAATCGAGCATCTACATAGGAACTGGCTGGTTTTGACCTGCTGCTGCTGATGTGTTTCTTGAGCGGGTGCTTGCGAAATCGAGCGTCTACATCGGGAATGGCTGGTTTTGATTTGCTGCTTGCTGCGATGCCACTGATGTGTTTCTTGCTTAGGTGCTTGCGAAATCGAGCGTCCACAGGGGGGAATGGTTGGTTGTCTCGAAGCGGGTGCTTGTGGAATCGAGTGTCTACATGGGGACTGACGGGGTTTAGGTGCTCTGATGTTACGGGTAATCACTTTATGTGTGTGGCTCGAACGCTTGCTTGTGGAATGGGGCGTCTACTTGGATGTTGCTGTTTGGTCCATGGAACCGAATGTATGCAAGCCCAACAACCGAACAGAAATCCAAATGCCATATTCGCGAAGTGCGCAATCCCCAAAACTTGTGGGGCACACGGAGTCGTTTTCGAGGTGCGGCGCTGGTCCTCCTGTTCATAAACTCTTGCTATCCGAAACAGTCTCGGTCGCCGTGGTTGGCTGGAGACGCACACCTACCTCTACCTCCGCACACACGTGCGATCACGTGCGCACACATGCACAATTTCTGCCGAAGAAGAGCTCTTGAAACCCCAGCGTCCGCGACGCATCCTGACACTTGAACTGGAGCGACTTGGAGAGCACAATCAGCATCCACACTGGGGCTTTAGCATCTAGTCATGTGAATTCTTTCACTATTGAGGCCTCTCAACCCACCGTGCGCAGGGCATGCGCCATTTTAAGTGCAAGCCGCGAACACTCCAAAAATGCGGGTTGCTGGGCTGACATCACCCCGCCTGGGGTGTCTTCACTCCCATGCCGTGTGCTGCAGGGCTGGGGGCGACTTTACGCCAGCTGGGGCGACTTAAACTTTGTGCTAGTAGCAACATCTCGAACTTGGGAGGTCTTGAAGACCAGAAAGGATGTCAGCGCAGAAAGTACGTCAGCTCGATAGGCATCCAAGAATCATACGCACAAACAAGAATCTGCCAGACATCGAAAAGAACTTTGCTTGACATCAAACATGTTGGCAGGCTGCCTAAGAAAATGGTCTGGCCTTGTTAAATGACATTTCCCCGACTGATCCCTCTTTCTACTGCGTGCAATTTGTCTCAAGACCGAGACTGGCACAACGCTCAAAAGGATTGATCAATTCTTGGTGTCTGCTCGGTCCAACGCGCGTGTGTAGTGTTGCTGAATTTCGCATGGTAGCGGAATTTCGGGTCCAGAACTACGAAGGAGAGAATGGACGTTGAAAACAGAGGAGTTGGCAGTGACTTCAAATTGCTCCAGTGTACCACCAAAAGCTGGATGAACAAAATGTTATATGTCGGACTGCACAAACCGATTGCCATGCGTTTGATAGGCGACGATGTCGGAGGCTTGGCGAGAGTGATTGTCGATGATGTTGCGTGAAAAGCTTGACCATCACCAGACTGGTTGAGCTGCAAATCAGCTGACACTCTTGTCACGACAATTGGCATGTGTGCTTGGGCAGACCACTGATGGTGCAGCTAGGGCAATTCTTCGAGAGGAAGACTGGATTCGGAGATGTGGAGACCACTGCACAAACAGTCCGCACCGCCAGAGAGAGCTGGAGCCGCGAATTTTCTGAACGAGATCATTGCTTTCTCACGGATGACCATCGGCAGAGCACGTTATTGAAGAATCGACATGAGAGGGTGACAGGCAAGCCACTGGACCATGACGTTTTGATCGCATAGGTTATGGAGCAGCACATGCCTTTTGAGTGTTCGTGATGTCAACACGTTCAGTGAAGCAGCGGAGCTTGTCCGCACTTACATCAAGAGTAGACATTTGGTTATGCCCCGTGCCTGGAATGGGGGTCCAGTTGACATGGGTATTGGATTGAAGTATGGAAGGACAGCATTGCATGGAAAGGCACAGAAATCGCAAGAAGGTCATGAAAGGAAAGGTAAGGGCAAAGGAGCAGGCAACGGGAAGAGCAACGGAAAGCAAGAGGCATGCACGCGGAAAATGACGAGGATGTCTTTTCTGCGGAGACACGAGTCCTTGGACAAGAGAGTGTACACAAGGAAATGGTCGTATGTCGGCCGTCACAGAGGAAGAGCATGGAAGAACAAGAACAGGGCTGGAATCAGAATGACGGTACCTTTTTATAAATCTGGTCCGAGCAGGCACCATAAGGGGTAGCCTAGCAGAGAACAAAAAATGGCTTCCTTTAATAAGCGAATTAATAACGAAGCCCAGCTTTCTGAGCGGCCGGAGCATTTGGAAAAAACTTGGCCTTGGAGAGGAGGCTCTGCTGCTGGGCCAGGGTTCCAGAGAAGCTTTGCTTGTGTATTAGAGAAGCAAGCCAACAAAAGCAAAGACTGCAGGAGCAGCAGGGCCCGGCCCGGGGCTGGCTATGAAAAATGGCTTCCTTTAATAAGCGAACTAATAAGGAAACCTAGCTTTCTGAGAGGCCTGAGCTTTTGGAAAAAGCTGGGGATCGCAGGGCAGCCTCTGCCACTAGGAGAGGCCCGGGTCCCCGGGAAGCTTTGCTTTCGTGGTAAGAGAAAGCAAGCCAACAAAAGCAAAGACTGCAGGAGCAGCCGAGACCGCCAAAACAATTTTCTTTAAATCTGGTACCTTTTCCCTAGACGAAATCCCTCCACCTTCTAAACTCCTCTTCAGACCCAATCCGGGCCCCGAAAATTTTCTTTACATGTGGGCCCTTTTACAAATCAAGTGCTCGGATTAGTGTGGAAGTATTTGAAGTCACTGCTCGGCAGGGTCACGGGAGCAAGATTTAATTAATGTTGCTACTCGTATTCCTACTCCTACCCCGCCTTCTGCTCCCACACCTACTCCTACTCTGCTACTCGTACTCCAGCTTCCTACTCTCCTGCTCCAATTCCTACTACTCGTACTCGCGCTTCCTACTTTATTGTCCGATTTCTACTCCCACTCCTTCCCGTATCTACCCCGATATACTCCACGCCCTGTTCCTGCTCCTACTCCTACCTTTCCTTCTACTCGAACTCCCACTGCTGCTCCGACTGCTGCTAGTGCTACTGCTGCTGCTACTACGGCGAAGACGACTACCGCGACAAGCATGTCGCGCGATAGATTCACGAAAGACATGCGAAAAGAGACATATTCTGCGATGAAACCATATCCAGATGCAAGAACATAAATCAACACTCATGTATGCAATCATGTAATCTACGATCCGGCTCAATTTGGTTTTTGATGTTTCCGCAACTCATTTTCGATGTCGGGGTGAGCGCTTTCGCTTACATGCCTGGCAACTTGTTGATGCTACACACTATGGAGTGTTGTTTAGAGCAAGATTCCTTGTCGCGTAAACCACGCATACGGACGACCGAGGTTGCGGAACGTCAACAAACAGTTCCCGCTCACGATTGATACGGAGTGGCGGGTCTTCGACAACTTGAGGCAGCGATTGCAAGCTCAGCAGAGGACTTAATTATTGGCTTGCTCCTAAATTGCCTTCCAAGGTACATCAAGGTGCTTGTGGAAGTGGCCGAGACAGGTGAGGCTCAGATTATCATCGCCGGTACTTACCAGTGGCAATTCCCAGTCATGGTTGGCATCTTAGTCGGTGTGTGAACCCACGAAAGCAGCATTCCCTAGAACACACCTCCTGATGTAGAGCACAATGTCCTGCACCTATTCGTCATCTTCTTTCTAAGGTTCCCTTGATCAAGCCGTTTACAAGCGAGTGGTACGTTAGCCTATGCGCAGAGCAGACGTGCGACTTTGCCGAATTAAACGGTTCAGCGGGACACCTCGTAGAACGTATCGTGTCCCTGCAGGCACGGAGGTGCAGGATCCTGGAATCATGGCTTCTTTTCCAGTTCCCAACAACGAGCCACAGCTGCCGGCCAAAGTGTTTCAGGCAGCATCCGCAGCACTTGAGTTTGGCAATCACAGGCAGTTATGTGAACACAACTGGGTGCTCTAGGTGTACTTCTTGTGCAGGTTTCAGGTTCTTATACACATGCACATGACATAAGTCGATGAGTCCCTCCTGCACGGATGGCTTGCGCAGGTGGTGTCAACGACGGGGGCTGGCTGTCATAATCACTTCTCCTGGATGGTCATGGGCATGTTGCTTTTTGCCGCAACTTCGTAGAAGTGTCGCGCTGACGCTCTCAATCCGAGACTAGCCGAGCGGCACATTCTCTTTTCATAGCCACGGTTAGGTTTGGTCCACTGACAGAAGCGAGCCCTGTGAGAACTTCCAGCTTCGATAATTACTTTTACTGCTGGATCCTGTTGCATGGCTGGATTATGGTAGTGTTACAGTAATGTTAGGTTAGATAGATCGGGGGCTAGGCATGGTGAACCCTTGTCTGCTCCAACCCATAGTTCGACTGGTGAAAGGTGTAAGTTTGAGCCTTCCGTGTCTCGATTCGGCATTTGTTAGCACACGCAGCAATCAGTCGAGAATCCCAGCCTCCAAGATGAAGCTCTTCACTGGCAGTTGCAGATGGGCTCGTATGTTTTTAGCTATGGGACATGCCGACAAGTGATAGTGCGAAGGTGCATGCGTAAATCAGAGATGCTCCTTTCCTGGCGCCTGTCCAGCAATAAGAACATGTAGATTTCACCATAGATTGTCTCACAAACGACGTCGTAACACGATGTCGGCTAGCACCAGTCAAACTTCCACCAGAACGTGGACAGTTTGCCTGGGTGGCAGGTAGCCAGATTTCTTTGCTTCACAGCAGAAAGGGATGAAAGTCACTAGCCTTTGTTCGTGCAACTAGAACGTGCAGCTTCTGCGGCAGGAAGTTGCCTCTCCTTGCTGGGAGTCCTGTCCTTGCTGCCTTCCTGTGCAAGGTCAAGAAAACCATACAAGTCACCAGAGGCGCTTGCCCTTTGCAGATGTTCGGTAAAGGTTAATCGTCCGCGTGTCAGATCAGGGCCGGGCGTGATGTCAAGGACAAGAAGTAGGTAGACGTGCACTGCATGTCGCCCACAAGAGTCTCACTTCCGTGCAGGAGAAAACACAGAAACACGCAAAACAGGAGACACCGTGAAGAGTAGCTGAGAACACTATGTTGTAATGTCTTACGGTTCCGGTGCTGCTCCTTCAATACTATCTATATTGCAGACATGGAATTTGTGCCGTCCCGTGGCGAAGATGCGACATTGCATTGGGGAATTGGAATTTGCACGGTTCTGTGCGGAATTGAGGATTGGCATTTGTACCGTGATGTATGCTTTCGGGTAGTTGAGTTTGTTCCCGGTTTGTTTCCCGATAAACTTTGAGCGATTCCAATTTCCGAGGTCCTATTTCCGTGACAGCAGGAAGGAAGGAAGAAGTAGGGAAAGAAATAGCGACAGGAAAGAAAGCAGAACGCAAGAAACGTGACTAAACATTAAACAAACAAGAAAGACAGAATTGCAGAAAGGAGGGAGCCCATCAAACATTCACTGCCTTTGCACGTGGGAGGGCTGCCTCCATTCTAGCCCCCTTCGGCTCAAGCCTTGAAAAGCTTGCTGCGAACTCATGCAACAAAAGAGGAGCTGCTGCCACAAACCGTTTTTCGAACATGATAACGCTCAGCGGGCTATAGAAATTATCAGGGCCGCTACGCAGGTAAATAGGTAATATGTTCGTGAGCTCGATGAGCCCGGTGAGTTCCGCGGCAGTTGTCCTCGCAGCTGCGAGCCATTACTGGCGCCCCGTTCCTCCTGTACTGCTTCGGAGTGAGCGGCATGGCAATTGCGCGTTTTGTGGGTCGTAACTGGAGTACCAGCACCATCGTGCCTCCTCACTATCCCGGTATAGCCGGGTGCATACGAAAGACAGGGTCGCTACTGTGTGATGCTGCACGAGACAGATTCTGGTAGTTGATCTAAAGCCCCTTGAGCCATAATTTGTATGAAAGGCCAACTGCACAGCTAAATATGCCGTCGCGAAAGTTCCACGATGGTGCTGCTACAGTTATTTTCTTTTGCGAAAGTCATCTGCGTAACCTATTTGCGGTACCATTACGCACTCTTGTAGTATTAGTACTATGACTATTACTATTGCTGTCGCTATTTCTACTACTACTACTACTAC